CTGGGAATTTCGGCACTTTTCAACTTAGATTTTTGGCCATGTTTTGAATATAGAGATGAACAGATTGTCAGCGCAACTCCTCTTAAACCTCTGTACAGAATTTGGTTAAACTTTGCAGATATTTAGTACACAGTGTGTAGATGTGCATATTACCAGGAAATTCCGATTCCATTATTTGTCTGGGCCACTTACCACAAAGCATCCTTGGGTGAAGGGGATTCAAGTTTGTTCAAATGAAGGGCCATGCCCTCTTTCAAAGGGAGATAATAAAGAATTAGTGAAAAATTAATAGCATCTTTTAAAAATCTTCTTCTCAAGAACCACAGGGCCAGGAAAGATGAAACTCATGTGGAGGCATCCTCAGGTAGTGTAGATTCAAGTTTGTTCAAATCATGACCCCAGGGGGTAGGGTGGGGCCACAATGGAGGATCAAAGTTTTACATAGAAATATATAGGAAAAACCTTTAAAAAATCTTTTTCTCAAGAACAGCAAAGCCATGATGAGTCATATTTATATGAAAGCATCCTCAGGTAGTGTAGATTCAAGTTCGTTCAAGTCATGACCCCAGGGGGTAGGGTGGGGCCACAATGGAGGATCAAAGTTTTACATAGAAATATATAGGAAAAACCTTTAAAAACCATCTTCTCAAGAACAACAAAGCCATGATGAGTCATATTTATATGGAAGCATCTTCAGGTAGTGTAGATTCAAGTTCTTCAAATCATGACCCCTGGGGGTAGGGCGGGGCCACAATGGAGGATCAAAGTTTTACATAGAAATATATAGAAAAAACCTTTAAAAATCTTCTTCCCAAGAACAACAAAGCCATGATGAGTCATATTTATATGGAAGCATCCTCAGGTAGTGTAGATTCAAGTTTGTTCAAATCATGACCCCAGGGGGTAGGGTGGGGCCACAATGGAGGATCAAAGTTTTACATAGAAATATATAGGAAAAACCTTTAAAAATCTTTTTCTCAAGAACAGGAAAGCCATGATGAGTCATATTTATATGAAAGCATCCTCAGGTAGTGTAGATTCAAGTTTGTTCAAGTCATGACCCCAGGGGGTAGGGTGGGGCCACAATGGAGGATCAAAGTTTTACATAGAAATATATAGGAAAAACCTTTAAAAACCTTCTTCTCAAGAACAAAGCCATGATGAGTCATATTTATATGAAAGCATCTTCAGGTAGTGTAGATTCAAGTTCTTCAAATCATGACCCCTGGGGGTAGGGCGGGGCCACAATGGAGGATGAAAGTTTTACATAGAAATATATAGAAAAAAACCTTTAAAAATCTTCTTCCCAAGAACAACAAAGCCATGATGAGTCATATTTATATGGAAGCATCCTCAGGTAGTGTAGATTCAAGTTTGTTCAAATCATGACCCCCGGGGGTAGGGCGGGGCCACAATGGAGGATCAAAGTTTTACATAGAAATATATAGGAAAAACCTTTAAAAATCTTCTTCTCAAGAACAGCAAAGCCACGATGAGTCATATGTATATGGAAGTGTCCTCAGGTAGTGTAGATTCAAGTTTGTTCAAATCATGACCCCCAGGGATAGGGTGGGGCCACAATGGAGGATCAAAGTTTTACATAGAAATATATAGAAAAAACCTTTAAAAATCTTCTTCTCAAGAACAGCAAAGCCATGATGAGTCATTTTATATGGAAGCATCCTCAGGTAGTGTAGATTCAAGTTTGTTCAAATCTGGATGATGACCTCTGGGATAGGGCGGGGCCACAATGGAGGATCAAAGTTTTACATAGAAATATATAGGAAAAATCTTAAAAAAAAATCTTCTCAAGAACAGCAAAGCCCTGATTGATCATATTTATATGGAAGCATTCTCAGATAGTGTAGATTCAAGTTTGAACAAATCATGACCCCAGGGGGTAGGTTAGGGCCACAATGGAGGATGAAAGTTTTACATAGAAATATATAGGTAAAATTTTAAAAATCTTCTTCTCAGGAACAGCAAAGCCCTGATTAATCATATTTATGTGGAAACATCCTCAGGTAGTGTAGATTCCATTTTGTTCAAATCATGACCCCCGGGGGTAGGGTGGGGCCACAATGGAGGATCAAAGTCTTAAATAGAAATATATAGGAAAATTTCTTCTTCTGTAGAACAACAAAGCCATGATTAGTCATTTTGATATGGAAGCATCCTCTGATGGTGTAGATTCAAGTTTGTTAAAATGATGACCCCCGGGGATAGGGTGGGGCTACAATGGGGGAATCAAAAATTTTACATAGGAACATATAGGAAAATGTCTTCTTCTCAAGAACTGAAAATCATGTTTAGTCATTTTGATATGGAAGCATCCTCAGATAGTGTAAATTCAATTTTGTTCAAATGATGACCCCCGGGGGGCAGAGTGGGGCCCAATGGGGGATCAAAAGTTTTACATGAGAACATATAGAAGAAATATTTCTTCTCAAGAACAACAAAGCTATGCTCAGTCATATTGATATGAAAGCATCCTCAGGTAGTGTAAATTCAAGTTTGTTCAAATGAAAACCCCTTGGATAGGGAGGAGCCACAATGGGGGATGAAAATTTTTAAAAATCTTCTCAAGTACAACAAAGGCATTTGATATATTGACATGGAGGCATCATCAGGTAGCTTAAAATTTAATCCCCCCCCTTATCTTTTCAATACTGAACTGATTTGTGCTTTTGCCTAGCCAATGTGCTCAGGTGAGCGATGTGGCCTTTGGGCCTCTTGTATTATTATTATTAAAAATCAAAATAACAATATAAATTGATGGCTAATTTAAAATGAGAAAAATACCAGTTACTAAACTTAATCTTTTATGCAAAATATGTTGTATAGTTGCATTAATGTCCTGATAACTCCTCCTACAGTTTTCAAGGTTGTAAGTTTTTATCTTGCAGATCAGTTGTGCATTTAATAGAGATGTGGATAGTACTTGGATTTTGATTTTTTGATCAACCAGTTGTTGAACTTGGTTTATTTTCATGGGGTACATTAATATTTTTGGGAAATCACCTCCAGTCCTACAGTTTTCAGGATAGCAAGGTTTTATAATTTATGTTAGAAATAATGAGAAATACCTAAGCAAATATAGGGATCCTGGCTTGATGGGAGATACTTTTTTCAGAAAGTCAGAAAATAATGTTCACTGTTTATTGAGATTTTCATCACCAGTTTTTTTCATTTAAGTTAAATTTTTGAAAACAATAAGTCTCCTCTCTCCCTCCTGGATCTGATCCCTCCACCTCCTCCCCCCCCCACCCACCCACCGGCAGCAATTCCAAACAAAAAAATTTAAGGATGCATGGCCTTGATGCTACATTGTAGATTGCCACAACATTTTTCATGGGAATAAAGATGGACAAAAAGAGATAAGGTGACTCATGTGAGAGTTTTGGCCCATGGGCCTCTTTATATCCCCCCTCCCACTTGAAAAGTGAGGGTGTATAGTGATGAGGGTGTCCATCCATCTAGCTGTCCTTTCATCTGTACATCTGTCTTTCTGTTATGCTTTGGGGTACCCAACTCTTATCCGCAACTCGATCCTCTTATACCTCTGAATAAACTTTAATGAGACACTGTGTAACCCCTATTTTACTTTTTGATTGGACATATATTTCGCGTTTCCCATAGGAAAACATAGACTCTTCTTTCTACAATATTGGGGGTACCATCATCTCTTATCTGTAACTCCTCCTATGCTACTGAATAAAATTAAATGATAATTTCACAGAATTTTTATTTCAAATTGCTATTTTGCACTCCTCTAAGACTGTATTTTACTTTCTGATTGGACACATATTTCATGCTTTCCCATAGCAACACATGGACACTGCCATTCTTTCTATAAAATTGGGGGTACCTGTCTCTTATCTACATCTCCTCCTATACCACTGAATAAAATTTAATGATACTTTCACTGAATCTTTATTACAAAGTGCCATTGTGACCTCCTATTTTACTTTTAATTGGACACATATTGCAAGTTTACCATAGCAAAACATGGACACTGCCATTTTTCTATAATGTTGGAGGTACCCATTTCTTATCCATAACTCCTCCTATATAACTGAGTAAAATTTAATGATTCTTAAACAGAATATTTATTGCATAGTGCCATTTTGTACCTCATAATGTTTTGATCAGACAGATATTTGGGCTTTCCCATGATGGCAAAAAATGATCTTTGTCATTACATATGTATACTCATATGGGGGTGGGGGGGGGGAATCAATGTGTGAGCTCAGTGCTCACAGTACCTCCAGTTTTTAGGTCACCTGAGTAAACTCAGGTGAAGTATTGCTATCTGTTTTTGTCCGTCGTCGTGCAACATGCGTTAACATTTGAACATTTTCAGCTTCTCCTCTTAAACCGCTCAACCAATTTCAACCAATTTTGTCATATAGTATCTATGGGTGGAGGGAAACAAAATTGAAAATATAGAAATGTGTTAATTCTTTGAAGTGCATAGTTATGATGATACATGTACTATGACTCTAATTCCAAATTAATTTTGTAAATTTCTTGACCCTGGGTCTTGGGTTCTGGTGTTAGGGTAGGGCTTTGTTGAATTTGTAGTGAAAATGCATTGTACCTGTCTCTGCTTCTGGGCATATCAGAGGCAAACTGAGTAAAAGTTTTGATAATATAAGCAAGGGTATTTTTTACCAGATTATTGAAGATCTGGACCATTTGGTTAAGCATTCTGGTCTTGGGCAGGGCTCTATTAATTTGTATTCTACTGAGAGAAGTTATTCCCCTTTTCCATTCACCTTTGATAATGAATCACTGTAAATAATGTATTTGAAAGGTTAATAGAATAAGATAATTATGCAAGAATTTTATTGTATAATTCAAAAAGTACGATGTACCGGTACTTTCTTAGTTTTAATGATCTGGTAGACCTGTAAGTAATAGATAAATAAAAATGAGACAAAAATAATTTTTTAAATATTCTTCAAAGACGAAGAAAGGTCAATGTAAGAGGTTTTAATATGGGATTAAAAATAGTACAGAAGCACTAATAGTTTGTTAATAGTCTGCATGGTGATAGTGATAAGTGGGGGACAGATTAGAACTTAATTTATGAGTTGATACTGAATACTAGACTAATTATTTTGTCGATCCTGATCTTCCTTCTTCTCTTGCTTTTGGGCAACAAAGCTTCACCTATCAGTTTATTTAATACTCTATGGATCTTCTAGATTGTTGTACATGTAATATACTCGGGTGACCATTAAGGCCCTTGGAGCTCTTGTTATGGTAAACTTCCATTTTTTCATTTTCAGTTAATTCATGGAATTCCTGCTGCTTTGCAAAATGTTAGTTTCTGCAATGAAGTATCCCATGCAGTACCAGCATTTGGATTCATCATTGGGTTGTTACCACTAAATGGAACAGCTGTGTACACCACAAGTCAAGTCACAGTCATAGGGAGTACCCTTATTAATGACTTGATTACTCTGTATATTGGAACGCAAAATGGAATTGTACTGAAGGTAATAATTTATTGTTACATAGAATTAACAAACCTCTAATTTATGGATTAGATGAAATAGTGGAAAGTTTTTAATTGCCAACTTTAAAAAGAGCTAAGGATTTTAACTAGGCCCAATCAAGTTAAAAATTATTAAAATGGACTGTCAAATCTTAATTATACCCCCCGCAAACGAAGTTTAGGGGGGTATATTGAAATCAGCATGTCCGTTTGTTTGTCCGTCTGTTTGTAGACTAGATTTTGTCCGGACCATTTCTTGGGAACTGTTGCAAGGATTTGTCTGAAAAATTGTACACTTATTATTCGCCATATGAAGGTGTGCACCTGGTATTTTCATCATGATTGGATAATTTTTTTGCATTTTACAGGTGTTTTTTTCATTTTTAGCTCTACTGGTCAGAGACCAGAAGAGCTTATGCGATAGTAAGGTGTCCGGCGTCCGTCCGTCTGTCTGTCTGTCTGTCTGTCTGTCCGTCTGTCTGTAAACAATTTTTCAAAATGCTACTCCTCCTACAGTTTTGGTCTGATTTCAATATAACTTGGCACACAGGTAGACTACACTAAGATACATAATTTAATGCATCGGTTTTTGATTTGGATGAGCGGTGTTGCCATGGTTACTAAAAATAGAAATTTCTGTGAAATTCCTTTAAAACCCTACTCCTCATACAGTTTTGGTCTGATTTCAATATAACTTGGCACACAAGTAGACTACACTAAGATACATAATCTAGTGCATCGGTTTTTGATTTGGATGAGCGGTGTTGCCATGGTTACTAAAAATAAAAATTTCTGTGAAATTCCTTTAAAACCCTACTCCTCATACAGTTTTGGTCTGATTTCAGTATAACTTGGCACACAAGTAGACTACACTAAGATACATAATCTAGTGCATCGGTTTTTTATTTGGATGAGCGGTGTTGCCATGGTTACTAAAAATAGAAATTTCTGTGAAATTCCTTTAAAACGCTACTCCTACTACAGTTTTGGTCTGATTTCAATGTGATTTGGCATACAAGTAGCCTCTATTAAGATTCATAATTTAGTGCATCGGTTTTTGATTTGGATGAGCGGTGTTGCCATGGTAACTAAAAATAGAAATTTCTGTGAAATTCCTTTAAAACGCTACTCCTACTACAGTTTTGATCTGATTTCAATGTGATTTGGCATACAAGTAGACTCTATTAAGATTCATAATTTAGTGCATCGGTTTTTGATTTGGATGAGCGGTGTTGCCATGGTAACTAAAAATAGATATTTCTGTGAAATTCCTTTAAAACCCTACTCCTCCTACAGTTTTGGTCTGGTTTCAATATAGCTTGGCACACGAGTAGACTACACTAAGATACATAATCTAGTGCATCGGTTTTTGATTTGGATGAGCGGTGTTGCCATGGTTACTAAAAATAGAAATTTCTGTGAAATTCCTTTAAAACCCTACTCCTCATACAGTTTTGGTCTGATTTCAATATAACTTGGCACACAAGTAGACTACACTAAGATACATAATTTAGTGCATCGGTTTTTGATTTGGATGAGCGGTGTTGCCATGGTTACTAAAAATAGAAATTTCTGTGAAATTCCTTTAAAACCCTACTCCTCATATAGTTTTGGTCTGATTTCAATATAACTTGGCACACAAGTAGACTACACTAAGATACATAAGCTAGTGCATCGGTTTTTGATTTGGATGAGCGGTGTTGCCATGGTAACTAAAAATAGAAATTTCTGTGAAATTCCTTTAAAATGCTACTCCTACTACAGTTTTGGTCTGATTTCAATGTGATTTGGCATACAAGTAGCCTCTATTAAGATTCATAATTTAGTGCATCGGTTTATGACTTCTATGAACGATGTTGCCATGGTTAAAAAAAATAGAAATTTCTGTGAAATTCCTTCAAAATGAAATTCCTCCTACAGTTTTGGTCTGGTTTCAATATAACTTGGCACACAAGTAGACTACACTATGATACATAATTCAGAGCATCAGTTTTTTTATTTCGATGAATGATGTTGCCATGGTTACTAAAAATAGAAATTTCTGTGAATTTCTTTTAAAACGCTACTCCTCCTTCAGTTTTTATTTGATTTCAATTTAACTTGGCACACAAGTAGACTATATGAAGATATATAATTCTATTTATTGCTGCATGTTGCAAAGTTTCGAATCCAAGTGCTACTTTTTCTTTGTTACATGTATATGTACAGACCAGTAGAGCTACAGTCTCATCAGAGACTTCTGGTTATTATGTGGTTTTGCCCGGATCTGTTCCCAGAGACTATTGCATAGAATTGTATGAAAATTTGTACACTTATTATTTACTATATGAAAATGTGCACCTGGTATTTTCAACATTATTTGATAATTTTTCTGCATTTTACAGTTTTTTTTTTCATTTTCATTGACTCAGTCATTTTGGGTTCATGTCTAAGGTTTGAGACATAGAATCTAGAACATCTGTACAAAAATGTGAACCACAGCTTAAAAGAACTCATTAGAACTAAAAAAAAATCACAAAGTATTAAAAACAGTTTTTACATTACACAGCAGATAGTGTAAATCCATTTGTCCCTTGGGAGTAATGAGTGGACATGCATCCAGTTAAAGATTAATTAATGAGTTCAGTGTGGGAAGCTGTTAGGGCATCTCTGATCAAGCAGGTCTTATCTATATCTCTGGGGAATTGGGCAGAAAGAAATAAAGATCTCTGTTGTCTAATTAGTCTCTTAATTGTAATTTATGTCCGTCAAAATACATAGTTACTGGGACAGCCTTTTATTTTTGAAAATGAGTTTGATATAAAGGTATTAAGATCGATTTGATTTTGTATAATTAAGATTTTTTTCAACAATCAGTTTGCAGAGTGTCATGTCTCACAAAGATGACAGATAGTTGCAAACTATTTTTTTCAATGTAATAAAAAAAACCCACTGTAATTATTAGTATTGATGTTTTATTAGGCTGCACCTTAGTTTCATTCATTTAAAAAAATATAATGAGTAATTAAATTTTCACTCTAAATGTTTAAGCAAATTGTGAACACCTCTCACATCTAGAAAACATTAGTGATTTTGGTACCTTCTCTGAAAAACCTGGTGAGGGGTATTTGTCCCTTTTGGACAGTTCTAGTTTGTGATATATTTTTTTTTTACATGTATGTAACATGCTATAAAAAATCTGAATGAAATTTTGTAAACCTCCCTTGATTGTATTGGAATGAGGACCATTTCAAAATATTCATCATTTTTTCATGGTTTTACAAATTTGATCCAGGATACTCTATAAGTTTCAAAAGTTTACTTAATATCAACAACTGATAGTTGACTTTTACTGTGTATGTTTTGCAACAGTAAATGCTTCTTACGTCATGAAAACAATTCTTTCTATGTTTTAAAATTTTGTTTAAGAACACCTTGTTAGCTCACCTGAGCCGAAGGCTCAAGTGAGCTTTTCTGATCGAAATTTGTCCGTTGTCTGTCATTGTTGTGGTCGTTGTTGTTTTTGCCATTGTCATAAACTTTTCACTTTTTCATCTTCTTCTCCAGAACCGCTGGGCCAATTTCAATCAAACTTACCACAAAGTATCCTTGGGTGAAGGAGATTCATGTTTTTTACAAATGAAGGGCCACTCCTTCTTCTAAGGGGAGATAATTAAAAAATAGTGAAAAATTGGTGGTGTCTTTTGAAAATCTTCTCTAGAACCACTGGGTCAAAAAAGTTGAAACTTATATGAAACCTTCTTCCCATATCGAAAATGAATACAAAAATAATACAAGTAAAAAATACTAAAATAGTACAAAAAAAGTATATTTTTAATGACCAAATTTGGAACCCTCTAAATCTTGGTTCCAATTTAGGTCAAAAATAATAGACTTTTTAAAAGCCAAACACAGAAAAATATATTTTTAATATACTTTATTTTTTCGAAATAATACAGAAATGATACACATGACTTGTAAAAACGTATTGTTTAAATTGTACTTTTGTATTATTTCTCTATTTTCCTCTCCAAAGTATAAAAATAATACAGTCCATAGAAAAGTATAGAAAAAATACAGAATGTACTAATTTTGTATTAGTATATATTATTTTTGTATTTTTTTCACCTTTAAGAACTAAAATACAAAAAAAAAAAAAAAAAAAAAAAAAAAAAAAAAAAAAAAAAATATAGAATATATTAATTTTGTATCACATATATTATTTTTGTATTTTTTCATCTGGAACAATTAAAAGTACAAAAAAGATATAAAATATGAAAATAATACAGTACACAAAAAAGTATGAAAAAAATATAGAATGTATTAATTTTGTATTAATATGTATTGTTTTTGTATTTTTATCAGCATGAAGGATTGTATTTCAAAAATATCAAAAAAGTACAAGAATGATAGACAAAAAATACATTTAAATGCTTAAAATAATACAAAACAGAGTTTTAAAAACTACAAAAATGATCATGGGCAAAAATTGTTATTTGAAGAAAAGGGGTTGGAGATTGAGGTTCTTAACAGCATCTATTGATTGTTATTCAAAAATCTTTTATTTATTTGAAATATTTGTTAAATAACAATTTTAGTAACTCAGATTACCTTAAATGTACAAATAGCTAATTAAAAAGTAATTAATGTGGCCAGGCTACTGATTCAGCTACCAACTGTAGTCTTATCTTTCTTTTTACATATAATCTGCTCTTCAATATTCTTGATCTTTTTCACAAGTTTAACTAATCCTGTTTTCTTTGTACTTTTACCAGATATTTCAATCTTCTCTCTGCTTTGCTGTTTCTTTTGTATGGAAAAGGTAGAGGAGTGTTTACTTTGTTGCAGAAGTCCATCTTCAAATCACACAACCTGTCATCTCATCTGACTTCATCACTGTGAAATATAGAACAGAATGATATAATAATAAAATTTAATGAACCATTTATATAAAACCAACACAAATGACATTTACAAATTTATTCAAATTGCCTTTTGGTAACTACTCAGCTATTATAAAAT